TTTTGTATTCTCATCCTGTGTCCGCCAATAATAAACATTGACAATCGCATAAACGCCGCATCTATGGAAGGAACGAAGCCTTAAGAAGTACTACTGGACTACGGGATTGCTTCTAGAGGTATATATGCACATGCTGTTCGATGTTCTAATTAATTGGATATTATATCTATGCATTAAAATTTTACTACCACTCTTAAAAAAAAGTTCTACTAATGTTTTTATTTTTTAATATTTCTTGTATTACTGGTCAATATAAGTATACACTGTTCAATTCGCTGATTCGAGTTGAGATGTGATTTGATATGAAAATTTTTTATTATAATAAAAAAATTAAATATAACTAGCGATAATATGTTTTTCTGATCCTAACTGTTACATCAATGTCGTTGGTTAGACCTGTTGAGTATGGCTTTAATAAAGCCCGTTAGCTTGTTTTGGCTTGTCGACCAAGACTTGCAGCCGACTTCCGTTTGAAGAGTCCGATATCCTAATTACCGTGAAGGAGGTATAGCAGCCGCAAAGTTTGGTTATCTCTGTTAATACATAATTTTCTCTCTTTTGTTTTTTTGAGTGAGATTTACTCTGAGAATTTAATTCTTTGATATTTGGTATTCTTATTTTTGGGTTGAGAGATTTTAGGTGTATTTGAGATTTGGATTGGTAGAGATACTTGATAAACTTTTATAATCTCTTTTGATTATAGTATAATTTTTTTGTCGTTTCTGTTCGTGAACGTAGGTCAAAAACTGAATCACATTAAATCTTTGTATTTTTAAATTTTTCTGTTATTTATATTTTATTTTGAATCCGTTTAATTTAACGTTTCGCACAACAAGACCTAATTAAAACCTGGGGTGGTCTCTATCATAGAACATCAAGTGGGGCTTTTGAACAATTTTTGTTATTCATTCTTCTGAAGCTAATAGCCATTTCATATGTACTGTTGGATGAGAGAACACAAGTTCACTTATATTATTATTAATTATTATCCAAGGTAGTTCTTTCCCTGGAAATATATCAAGTCAACTAAAAAGTAAATTAACCAAAAGTCTTTCCAATGCTTTTATTTTTATTTTTATTTTTTATTTTTAATCTTTTACCTCGCTAATGACGTACATATCTGCTTGAAGTCAACTGCATGAATATCAATATTATCACTGCCTTCATTTATTGACAGAGTTATCTGGATCAGGTTGTGTTTCTTACAGGTATGTTCTGAGATTATGACCTTGTTTTTGTTATAAATCAAATCAAATAACAGTTCAAATTTTTTTTATTATAATATTTTTTCTTATAAAAATTTAAATTAAACTTTTTTACTGTAGTGTATTTCTTTAAAAATATATTATTCCAACAAGTTGTGTCAAATACAGGTAATTTATTAAACTAATTAGGGCATTGGCCGCCTAAAGTCCAGATACAAAAAAGATCCATCATACTTTTTAGGAAGGAAAAAAAAAAACCCCTATACATTAGATGAGATTGAAATTATCTATCTAATTTTTAGTATCTCAAATGTTATTTAACCAATCATATATTGTCATCTCATTTATTAGACTCAAACACTAAAATATGAAAATTTCAGTTAAAGAACATTTCAAGTTTTTTAAACGGAATAATTACGACATGATTGATTAAATACCATATTACATATTGAAATTAAAATTTAAGTCCCTTGATGATATAATTTGTATGCACATAATTAGTTCTCACAAGCCAATCTTTAATATTCATTCCTTTGCAAGCACCTCACTGAGGTGGTCACTACTCACTGGTCAATACATGCATGTGTAATGTGTTTCCCTCTTCCTAACAATCATATCACGTCAATGTCATAATTAGCATATTTTCATAACTTTGGATTCCTTAATTCGGTCATAAGATTATGCGAGGTTAATTAAAATTATTTCAACTGTCATTACTTTTTAATTAATGTGATAAGAAATTTTAATTAACATGACATTTTCATTGACTTATCTTGTTATTTAGAGGAACATGAAAAAGAACATAAATAAGCGGATACGGGAGTCAATTCCCTCGCTTTGTCCCATATAGTTTGTGTTGGTCTCCGAATCGAATCCGGATGCGGAAGCGTAGTGGTGGAAGGGGAAGGGGCAGATCGTGTATAACAAAAATTTTCATAAAACCTTTAAGATACTCTATAGATTATATTAATTTATGCACGAATAAATTAATCTCATTAATTCATTTATTAAGAACTCAATCAGGAAAAATACCTGGAAGCTGACTCGGATGATAACTTGAGTTCGTTGACCACGAACAGTCCTTGCTCCAATCTTTATGTTTAGAAAACCAATGTCTTCCACGTCAATTCCTAGAATCCACGAAGACGTGTGTGTGGGCACACATGAGACAAAATAGGTTACAATAAACATTCGAATTTCCACAAATACCATCGCATGCACAATGTTGAATTTTTGGAGAAAATTTTTTTCCTTCCTTTCTCTCTTGAGAATTTCGGCCAGCCTTAACCAATTAGGGCTGAAAAAGTGTTTCCTTCTTTCTATAGAGAAATTTCGGCCACCTCTAAAATTAGGGTAAAAAACCATTCCGAAAATTGTCTCAAAAATAGTATTTATGGAGTAGAAGTCAAACTTCTAGAAAGAATCCAATCTCTATCTCCAATTTGAATTTCGAACTAAAATTCTCCTCTATCCCTTATCCCTTGTGGCCAGCCATGCTAGGGATTCCTATCCCTGTGTGTGGCGCCAATACTAGATAGGGAGGGAAGAGAAAATCATCCTTTATCCTGTAGTCCAATTTTATTTCAAATTCAAATTCGAATTTAAGTCAAACTTAAATTAATTTGAATTTTTAAATTGAACAACTTATCAAATAGTTTAAATGGATAAATCTAGATGTGTTCAAATTCAAATTTAAAAAATCACATTATTTAAATAATAATTAATTCTCAATTAATTATTTTCAAGTGTTTAATTTTAGAATTCCGTAATTCTAAAATTC